CATGATGTACGCTCTATGAGCATCCTATGTGGTAGCTGATTCTAGTGCACTATTCTCGTAAATCACAGACTGCCAGGGAGATGATAATTTAGACACCCCAAACAATATCACATGTAATGGTCTGCATACCCAGGAAGCTAAATTACCAGGTGTGTGGTGAAGAAATGAAAATAATAACGCTAGGTTGAGTGTGCAACAATAAAGAGGGTCGAGTGAAACAAACTCACTAAGAATTGTTCCCTTTAAAATATTTCGGCGTTGGCCCCGGTCAGCGAATAAACAATAATCCAGTCGTGATTGTCCAGGGGTCTTTTTCCGAAAAGTTCTCACGTATAATAAATTCAGAAGGTAGTCCGAAATGTTGTGATACCAGAGTTAGCAAATGGAACTCGAGAGTGACCGCTGTGAACGCGAGCGAAATCAGAAGAAAAAGTAGAAGCACGTGAACACGTTTGTATTGCGTGTAACTGTACAAAAGTGCGTTTTTGTAGTTTTTCGTACTCAAACAAAAATATTCATGCAACTGACAAAATACATAATGTAATATTGGAGACAAAAGAAAGGTATAAAACACCACACACAAAAGCCATTGGATCTGAATCCTAGACAGAGTGAATACATCATTCTCAGTCTATGGTGTTTTGCGCGAAACTTCACTTATGCAACTCAAATAGCCTCCCAAAATCCACTGCACAACTTTTTTGTTTGTAGAAAGTTAACTGGTTTGTAATAAAGGCCCATGTGGCCCGCGCAGATTCTCCAGGTATGGGGAATTCTTCATTTTCAAACAGAACATCACAGTTCTTCCTAATCTTCGTATTCAGTGCAATGTCCCTGCAATACAGAGGTTATTCAATGGTGAGACAAGATTCTCCCTCATCAACGAGTGAATTTCCATAGTTGGGTCCCAATATACTTGAAGTCACACTATGCTGCAAAAATAGCAACTACAATCCAAATCAGTATATGGTGTTCACGGAATTTATTCACCACCACGTCACTCGATCAATTGCGTTAAAACTTCTCCGATCAGTGATACCGATCTCCTTGCCTTTGGACCGGCGACACAGAATAAGGTATAGAGGGATGGCATAGCTTTTAGCACACTATGTCGAGTTGATACTGTTGGTTTTATGCCGGTGTTACCAAGGCAGGGAAAGGCTAGCCACAAATTAGAGTTCAAACTATTTAGATTCGTAGCATCGAATTGCCGCCGATTCACCAAGGCGTTGCTGTTGTTGCTCCGAAAGTTCATGATTTTCAATTCCAATCTTCGTTCTTCACATTTGCCACAATCAAGTAAGGGGCAAGCGATTGCGTTTGACCAAAGGTTGAGGCCACCAAAAATCATTTTTTTGGACGTATTCAGAAATCCTTGCAGGCAACCGTGTCTCGGTTGTTCCGATTTACTTTCCACCCCAAATGAATTGAGAAAGGTATACACAAGAGGCAACCACAGTGTCTACGTTGGTTTCTGCTAACAGTCGGCTTTTATGGGAGCCCTGAAAAAGTTGCATCTTTGGAGATTTTTTGAGGGCTTAGCCGAATCTCCAGCACACTGGACCATAATACTGTTTCCTTTTGAATGTTGATAAGAAGAGCAATGTTTATTGGGATAACTTCTCTTTTCTGTATCTGTTCAACAGTTTGTCCGTACTTTTCGATTAAGCCACGATTGGGCATTATTTTGCAGTACGGCCAATGTGATTTCGATGACTCTTTCTAATATTTTGTCACAGAAAAACTTGGAAGCTGGAAAACGCGCTGCTTGTTTGTTGCCTTCGTACCTTACCCTTCCGCGATGACACACCTAGCAATCAGGGTCTGGTTTATCCTAGGTCTGTTGATTCCATGAAAAGATATAAAGGTAAAAATTGGCACAGTTGGTTGGTATCGAGCAATTGCCTCTTATCGACGCTCCAGGTGATGAAAATAAGAATAGCGACAACTAAGCCTCAATGCTGTGGTTTGTATACCCCCCTGAAAGAGTACAAAAAGGTCATATCTCCTTTTTATGTGAATACACTATGGAGAACTGAGAAATCTCGGTGAGAAAGATCTGCCTTAAGGCTACCCGCAGAGTCATTATAGGGACTGACTATATTCAGTCATTTCTTGATAAGGGATGACGATCAAGCCTTTTGTATGCCCTGCTGGATGCCCAGCAATCGATCATAATATTTGAGAACCGGGAAATCGTCCACACAGACAACTGAAATCCATTGTCCTTCTGCTGGTCAACAGGCAGTCCTTTACGCGGTGTGTTCCTGGGACTGACCTGACTCTTGTCACACCGAAATTTTACCTTTTTGTAGATGCCTTATTGGGCTCTGCTTGTAAAATTTGCACAGAGGCATGCTGTGTGCAGAATCGACGCTTTCACCCAGTACACTGAGGGAAAACGAATACCCGAGGCTTGCGATGAAATAATTAAGACAACCAGTTATGGGAGAAGGTGGAAATCCATTATTTCAGAAACTTCTCATTAACATCAGGTTATCACCTAGAAGAGGCGGTGCTTGGGGAATAATCAAGCGGAAACTGACGACCCCAATCAGAAGAACGCTTGGTGCTCTTAGTCAAGAATCTGCTTCATCAGTGATTACCCACTACAAACATCAGGGATAAGGTGCCAGTCCACGACTCTTCAATGGTAAAATATTATTAGCTTCCAAATGTTATTCAAGGAACATCGTTCGGAGTACTCGATACTTAGCTAAAGAATTACTGAGCACATGTCCCGAAGCAGTGGAACCAGACAAGTGAAACAGGTGACGAGCGCTACGGCAACTCACCGGATCGTTGTGACTAAGCCATTCAGCGTCATGTATCCAGTGCCACCATATCATCTCGGATAGTTCGACAAAACGCGCTCGCAACAGTAGAGGCGATCACCATTTGACCACACAACCAATCTTGTCATAAAAAACGTCACGTGGATGCATCGACCCGCCCTGATTAGCAAGCCACGGTCCTGAATTAATCCCATATTTACCATACGCTTGACCACCTAAACTGCTTTTATGCAAACATTTTAACTACCTAAGGAGCCGTTGCTCCAAGAGCCAGTCAACACGTGGTCTGCGTGATGAGGATCCTGTGGGTGAAGGATGAGCGACGACATATCCTGTGCAAGCTTATCACACCACTAACCAGCCGCTCATGGCCGAACGGCTAATTATTCAAACTACTAACCAGGAGGCCGCAGGTTTGAGACTTTGGAGTTTCGTGGGATGTGCACTGCTGATGATTCTAAGTTTAAACCGCTGTAAGGTGCTTTTCGGATTTTCAGCATGGATTGGCTTCATTTACTGGGAGAATTCGCCGTGAATTACACTTATACAAGTGTTTAACAGTTGAGACTGCCGAACAATATTCTTCTCCCGCCGTTCGTATTTGTCACAAATTATGACGTGTTAGTTATACGAGCAATCGCAGAAAAAAAACTTGTTCACAACACTGGTTCTTCTAACTTTTCTGGATACTGTGCAACAGTGTGATGCCTATCGGTCTGTGGAAGGATCGATATCAGGAAATAGATCACATCAGACCATTATACCAGCCGGGTTTCCCGGAATCAAAGGAAGCAGGAAGCCAATCGATGCCCTTCTAGGCGAGATGACTCAGCGGTTGAGGCGCAGATTTAGTGACCGGAAGGTACACGATTCGGACCTGACCTTTGAATCTTGACTTCCCCTGTGTAGCCTTGGGCAACCTGGCGGTATCTTCACCCTCGTGTTTCCTTCGGGTGGCATGGCAATTAGGCACCGGAAGGGTGCTACAGTTGAACGATTTTTTATTTATGATCCGCGACATAGTTGATTCTACGCACAGCCGTGTTCGCCATTCTTTCACGGGTCTCTTGTCACCTTTGCTTATTTAAAGTATGGTACGTGCTGTGAGGCACTCGTTCATTGATTTGGTGAAACAGGCAAAAGTCTTCAGATGCCCAAGCTTCTTCACCATATATATATATATATATATATCGTTCGGAAGTTCATGGACAAGTTTCGTTAATCTTGATGATACATGAGTAATCTTGTGGGTCTGTTCAGATCCAGACAACGTCCCAACTACCTGTGGCCGGTAATCATGCCTCCAGTTCAATGGCCTGGTGGTCGCCGCTCATAAACTGAACCGAACCGATAACTTAAAGCTGGATATCAATCAACACGGGTTGTGTGCTTCAGATGTATCAGCAAAGCAACAAAGGCTGCATAAGTTGATGTCCTTAGGGTTTTGTTAAACTTCCGGGTGGCGTTTTCTGTGTTTTGTGGACCGATACGGCATGAAGTCAGCCGGGATGACACTTATCGCCAGTTGAAGCTATGTTAATTTAACAACCCTTTTTCTATGGAATCCTAATGAGGTCAATGAAGCGGGAAACTCCACCCTTGGGTTTACAGTAAGTGTAGGCGTCTGACTAGCACATGTGCATTCAGCAATCTTTGGTGCCACGTCAGAGGGATGTGGCAGGTATTATTCCCCATTGTACAAAGGAACCGTCGTAACGAGCCGGTAACTTGGTCACGCCATGAAATGAGTGCAAATCACCACTGGTGCTGAAAATTTCAACACGGGCGAAACGTAAGGTGTATGGGACTAAATGGAGCTGTGAGGGATTTCACAAGGAATTGCTGATGGCCTGCAGGACCGTATTGGACATAGGTAAGATCTTCGGAGTAAACCGGGGTTCCGATTAGAAGACTATCTTCACGCTGGTACGAAAGACAAAACAAGGACTGAAACTCCGCTGAAAACTCTTCGAAGAAAAATGCCCGACCGATTTAACGGTAACTGAGAGATATCGGGAAAATCATTTACAGAGCACCCTAATGGATCGTTCTTTGCTGCACTCAAACACTCCTTTTGCGGTGGAACGGTTAACTGTTCCGGAACGGAAAGACAGCCGGTGTGAAACCAATTAGACTGACCACCATCCCCCCGCAGAACACATATGGCCTTGGATCAGAACACGGGAAAACTCGGGCTTGGATGCTCGCAAAAGTGAGTAATACTGTAGTATTTTTGACCAGGTAGTCCAAAACTCAGCAAAACACATCACAGGAAGATAACGACTTAGTGTGGGAATGGAAAGGGTGTACAATAACATTTGGAAAATAAGTTTTACAGACGTCGATTGACGAGCACCCTCTGAAGAGGGTCCCACACTAATCCATGTGAGATAGCTCAAGGCACAATGGCGCAAAATAGTCACTAGAAAATTGAATCACGGCCTGAATGAAATAATGCGTCAAATGAATTGTCGAGTTCCAATTTTTTTATACAGTGAACGCCTCAAATAGAGGTGATAGGACTGAGATGGTCCGCAAGGCATCAAACAGACATTATCTAAACGTCTGTTCGGTGGTGGAATGTACTAACGGTGAATGAGAAGGATTGTTTGTACAAGAAAGGTTTTGGTTCATTGTGGAACCAAGCACCTGGTCGGGATGATCGAAGGGGGCGGTGGAATCTGCTTGTAACGGAACAGAAACAGCAAAGGGATATAAGGCGTCTTGCCTAGGAACAGGATCTGAGCTGGACTCTACCAAGTCCTTTGAAGGATGACCGGGTGAGCTGGGATGGGGTGGGTTTGGTCTGTAATGTCCTCGTCGACGACGGCGTTTCGCGGTCGGAAGTCCATCGGACGGAAGCATGTCTCCACTCGCTTCTAGATACCCGTTAATAACTGGTTCAGCTTGGAACTCAACATTATCTTCCGTTGAAAACGTTCGACAATCGCTGGCTTCTGCAGGGCGACCTACAATAGTGGTGGGTGGTTCCACACCACGCACAACGAAAAGTTGGTTACCAGAGACGGTAGCCAACTTCCTGAGTCGTGGATGCCAAGCAACGTGCAGGACCTTGCGCTGGCAATCAAGTTGACGCAAATCGTTCAGTGGCATGGCTTTATCGGATAACCTTTCGCCAAACAGCTGATGCCTCTCCAGTCGTCTCCGAATTCGTTCATTTAATAGTGATGAGCTGTCGATGACCTTCGGTTCCCGATCAGAGCATCCATTTGAGTTGGTATCTGGGCAGTTCTGGGAAGTAGGGACCGCGAGATTACGTTCCTCTGGTTGGCCAAACTTTTGTTTTCGACGATGGTGCCTGGGACTTTTGCAAATCGGATTCGGAGGTTGCAGGAGCTCAGTTTCACTCGCACGTTCAAAAAGTGTCTGCTTTCGCCGTTTGGAGCCAGTGGGTAGGTTAACAGAGGTGTCTGGTGGATCTACGGATGCTCTGAGATCTGCCGGCTCACTGAGAGGTTCTAAACAACCCGTATCTTTGTCAACAGATTCAAATGAACCGTCTAAACTGTCAAACTCATTCGTCGATTCACTTACTCCGCTTGGTGAAGCAATATCACTTCCGCTACTCATTCCGCTGTGTTCGATATCACCCATTAGAGATTCGATAGCGTCCACAGAGGTTACACAAACGGTGCTTACGCCAAGGGTACTTCCTAGCGGATCCTCAGGAGAAACGAAGTGTTTCGGAACAAGCGGGATCGCTGTTACAAGATCCGGTGACGGATCGATATCATTCTCATTATTTAGATCGTACAGCCGGTCAGATCCGGTGTGTCGGTCGAAAATACGGAACAGGTTGCCGTAGGAACCAGTAGACACATAGCTGAAATGAATGATATGTATATTTGTATTAGAGTAATTCTTATGAGCGAAGGTTCGGTAAAAATGACCACTTTTCAAGATAAAAATCGAAGCCCCAAAAGGATATTGTGGGCTAATATAGGCGACCATCACAGACAATCATGACATCAAACATGCATTGTGGCGATTCACACTAAATTAAAAAAAGCAATTGAGTAATTTTGACTGCATTCAGCTCGTAAAATAGTGGCGATTTACCCGAAAAGTGGGCTAAATGTTAGCGCATGCTATCAACAAATGGTATAGGGGATAAGTTCCTGCCAGACATATCTCATGATATTTCGGGACTTGAAGTTGCTCTGGAAGGAACAGAGCAACACAGGGACGGAACAGTAAACAGGGATGAGCGAGCGTTCAACTACTAACTGAACATACTGGGATAGTGAAGCTTGGCGGTTCTAAAACGAGGTATTATCAACACGATGAGATTGTGTAAGATCATGAGGGAGTGGGAGAAGTTAGCGAGCTAATGGACTATCACACAAGGGACAATTAACTGTCCACATTCATCCTCGGTGGCTGAAACAACCCCTGACTGTGCATAAACTAGTCGTGAAGTGCGAATTCAACTATCGCAAGATGCCTATTCAATGGCAACTGTATGCGGCCATGGTCAGTATTGCTGTGTTGATGGATTTTTCTTATCAAAAAGCTTGTTTTTATTTAGATCCGGCTTTGTGAATTCTAAGATTGCATCATACGCTCTGCCGACTAATTAACTGAGCTGAGGCCCGTAGCACGACTGCTACCTGAAGATCGGAATGTGACTGATATCCGAAAAAAAACTGAGTCCTTGTTTATCGGCACTTCAAGTAGTATGCTAAGCGTGGAAGGGTTGCAGTGCGGTCAAGCTGATGTTTTCCAAACCGGCGAAACAAACTCCATACTTGTGGACGTAGGATCAAACGCTTTCCCAGATGACTGCCATCCTGGTATTAATAGGCTGATATCCTTCCGTTCAACTCATCAACGCACTCGTCGAGTAAAACTTGTACAAAACAGCACACTCCACTGCAAAAATGCTCTGTATTGAGGAAGGGACTAGCTGAAAAAGTTCAGGAACCACAAAGCTAGCATGAAGTAGATTAGGGTGACTAGATTTCTATAAGAGTAACTCACGGACTGGGCGAACCTATCTTACTGTTATTGACAGAGGAGGCATGGAGGAAAACACTCTTGAGCTAGACAAATGTAGATGGCAAAAGCAAAACGGGTCAAACCTACCGATCGTCACTGGACCAGGAGCATAAGAATTTGTCGAAAATTGCGTCATTTTCATACAACATACACAGCTGAGACCGGAACGGTTCGTGAATTGAGTAGAGTTCACAAGGTCGATCGCCCATTCGGATATCCCAGACTGCAGGGAAGATGGTCACAAGAGAGTCCTGAGTGAGTTCAAAAACTTACACATTCTAAGCAAGTAAATACGGGACGGAGCTCGCGGAATTGTTGACTAGGCTGCAGTAGTGAGTTAGGCTGTGTGGTTGAGGTGAGGGGGAGGTGGGGAAGGAAAATTAGAAGTCCCGCGAGCAAACACCCCCAGGTGGCATCGAATATCTGGTTGATGAGTGTGTTCACTCACAAGATTTCTCTACTGGACTGGCGAAGTTCTGTTACATTTCAGATGATGAGATTCTGCAAAATAAGCATACTGAATGTTACGACATACTTGATCCTTATGCACAGATCAACAGCGACGAATTAACATGATGAGCCAGTGGAATGGTCACTACGATGGAGCAATTGTTGTCAAGAATCTATAATTCCAGCACACCGACGAAATGCATACAACACATTCGGGCACAAGCAGATTCAGGTTCTGATACGAGTTCAGTAAGCAAGTGCTGTTTTAGCCGTTCAATGCCGTATGCGTATATTCACACGATCGAATATGGAGAACTGCCGCTGCGGCGCCTATTCTGTGAACCCGGATACCAGCCTTGGGTTGCATTAGGCTGGAACACATACCCAAGTGCTTGGTACACAGCTCAATTAACGAACGGAAGATCTGGAAAGGACAGTGGACAATACGATAATTTTGAAGAAGTAGTAGTTTCATCCACCCCATTGGAGTTTTCTTCACACCTGAAAGAATCCCAAATAATATGTCCTGATATTTGCTAATGCAAATTCTCATATCAAAATCGGACACCATTTGTATTTTGTATCCGATTCCAGCTTGATTTAGCAAGCCTGGTTCAAACTCTTCGCCAAAACAACCATTGTTTCACTCGGTTTGAAGCAACACAATAAGCTTTAAGCACTTGGGAGTATAAATTCGTCTTCTTTGCAATTTCATTACTGGCTTTAAGCAACCAGCTCACACACACATACAAAGTAGGGTTACACTACTGTCTGTTTAAAAGTCTTACGACTAACAGGAAACTGAGATATAGACAAATTGAAACGTCTTTCAGTGTCTACTCAGGGGTACCGTGTTGGCTGAAATCCTGGGGGATCGGTTTAAATTGTATTATAGGAAGGATGTTTCACTAATGAATAGATGAATACTTTGTTCGACAATACATTATGAGCCACTGAGCATCTACCACAAGTTCAACTGACACGGACCTGCTATGATGCTTCTGATGGAGAAAAACACGATTGATTTATGAAACATCAGTAGCGGTCTCAACAGCCTTCGAGTGCGCTACCGTAGTCAACTGGAGCCATGTTTCGAGTTCGTACACAGCTCGCACATTTAAGTTACCTGTGCTATAATAGATAGATGACCCACACATATTACAGGTAGTAAACAAGGAATACACTCTTAATCGAATGAAACGAAGTCATAAGGCCACATGCAGCACACATAAGCAGTCAACTAGTGATTCTGGAGCCAAATACTTCCTAACAGAGGACGCACGGCTTAGGGGCACTGGATGGGGAACGCTTCCAAACAGTCATCTTACTCGCAAACAAGTCTCCTTACATTTCACCCAAATTTATCAACTATATGAGGCCATATACGCTTATTTGCAAACTAATTTGGTTTTTCGAGAGACCCACCTGGAATCCAGCTGAATCCGTCGTTTGTGATGTCTCCTGGAAACATCACAAACGAAGGATTCAGCTGGGCTCTCAAAAAACCAGATTAGTTTGCAAATGAGTGCGTACTCGCTATTTTGGTGCAATTGGGTTTCAAGTAGAATATGAGGTTGATGGAAACTCGGGAACTGCGCCCACCTGGTGGTCCCCAAAAAGGGCGATACCAGTCATGGGCTGTCAACGAATTTTCAGCGAACTTTTGAGTAGTGCATAACACATAAGAGGCTATGTTATTATTGTACCTAGACTCAGTTAGACAGCTTTAACGATAATATATTGTCGTTTACATGTAACATTCGGATACAGTCACCAAGTCACCAGAAGAAAGCACGAGGGCTGAGATACAGCCAGATTGCCCAAGTGTGGGCGGGAGCAATCGAGATCTTGAGGTTGGGTTCGAAACAAGGACCTTCCAGTCAGTCAGTTCGCGCTTTAACGAGAACACAGTACGCATCTAATTCACTGTGCCATAGCTAACTGGGTTATTCAGACAATTCAACTGCGATGAGGCATGTACTCTCATCGCCTCCACTTTATCTAGAATAGGTACATGCTCCCCATCGATAAGGAGGTGCATTTGTTGCGGTTGAGTACAGATCGGCAAGATATCAGTCCAGCAGTTGGATGAGCTGCTTTTGGTACACGTCACCACTTGGGTACGTGCCTTCCTGCTTGGTTCTGTCTGGAGTTGCTGCCTAGTAGACACCCCTGATTCATGATCAAAGCTTAAGTACTGCTCAGCCGCTGTAAGATCGGTCGGGGTAACTGTATTACCATATCTCGTCTTCTAGTCCCACTGGCTTCCTCACTCAGGAAAGTATCCTGTGTGTAACACATTCGGAAAGAAAACATCTGCTTTTTAAGTGAACCACGTGTAACAGCAGCGCGACTGGCTTTCGCACTGTTGAAGTTGACACTGAGGTACCGAAGTAGAGATACCGATAAATTCTGTTTTCGATTAACGTAAATCGGCGTTGCAACTGTTTCGGCAAACACTGTAGCGTACGTAGCACGCAATAAACTTTTCATCAAACTAGGCGAAGTCGCACGCAGTGGACGTAATGGCATCAGTCGTGAGAAGAGTTTACCCAGCCAGATGAAAAAAATTATCATGACTCCGTCTATGGGGCGATCACATTTGAAACCAGAAGACGTGTCGAATCAAAGAGAATCAGCTAATGCGGCGAGTCCGTTGGTTCATCTGACAACTTGCGAATAAGCAGGGCAGCTTTTCATGACATCCTTACAATACTCATGGGAGATCTGACAAGCACCATACCTGATGTCAATCTTAAACGCAATGAATAACCCTAAACATGACCGAAAACTCGAAAAGATCCAGCAGGTGCACATTCCATTCGAAATAGTCTACATATTTGAGATCGAAAACTCCTTTAGATTAGACGTAATACACTGCTCATTAGGTTGCCGAAAACTCTTCGACAGCCCACGACCGGTTTAGTCCTTCTTGAAGTTCATCAGGCAGGCGCAGTCTCCGAGTTTCCGTCAATCCTATGTTTCACTTGAACCCAAATTGCAAGAACTTAGCGAAATACGCTCACTTACATACCAATTTGGTTTTGACGGGAGACTCAGCTGGAACCCAGCTGAATATCTCTTTTATGATGTTTTTAAGTCGACGGGATGAGGCAGATGTTCAAATCGAGCGATGAAAGGTTTTTGCTTAACAAACACCACTGATCGCAAAACACAGTAGAGCAGCGCGTCGCGAATGAGGTTTATTGAGATAATACCACATGTTTGTCTGGTAGCATAGGCCCTAGAATGCCAGATTAGGCAACACGTGCCTCACAAGGTCTGCACAGACAAGTGTTGCAAACATCGAATACGGGTGTGTTTGTGTGTTAAGTCTGTACAGGCTACAACCGAGTAATTATCTGCAGTCTTACAGCGTAACAGCTGGCGGGATAAAAGAACAATTATTGAATAATCACACCTAAGGAAGCCGACCAGAATCGCCTTCTCGAAAGAGAGGCGTTCTTGACCAATAATGACTTTAAAATTCCCATTAAAGAATTTATGGTTACCTAATTCATCATTCGGCCCAATTTTGGCTTTGTACGTCTTACTCTAACTGATTCACGAAGGCTCATTTCGCCAAAACTAACTGAACATGAAAACTTCCAAATATGGACGATTGACCACAGTTGTAAGGCTCAATCTCCAATCGGGTCCAACTTCAAACTGAAAACTGTTACTTGAGGGCTAAAGGGATGTACTTCAGGTATTACCGGTCACATTGCAGACTGGTACCGAACGGACGTCGTTCCTGATGATACAACTTTTGTTGACTAATTGTACCAGATATACTAAAAAGGCGGCTGATTCAGATAAGTACGGCCCAGAAAAATGACGCAAGGTTGAGTTGAGGTCATTCACTTGATACGGGCATCCAAAGTTTGTAGAATCGAGGTCTAGTTTGACTCCGGATTTTTCCCAGGTTCAAGGTAAGACCCACCGCCGACTGGGTAACGTATGGATGGCCTCTTCATTGTTCTTTAACAAGTTAAAAAAAACCGTTCAACTGCAACACCCTTTCGGTGCCTAGCTGTCATGCCGCCCGAAGGAAACACGATGGTTGGGATACTGCCAGGTTGCCCAAGCCTAGGCAGGGGAAGTCGAGATGCGAAGGTTAGGTTCGAACCACGGGCCTTCCGTTCAGTAAATCCGCGCTCTAACCACTGAGCGACCTAACCCCCTTACGAGTTATACCTATAGATAGCTTCAGAGTCAATGTTATGACAATCGGAACGGTTGGGCAATAAAGTCGTCCTGGTATGGTCAGACGATATCGATCACGTTTGAACAATTTGGGTGACGAAGGCAGTTCATTGCAAACAATATTTGCATTTGGTTTCTGACGATACAAGACCAGGATCCGGTTAAAATATGAGGCGCGGTTACATGCGTTGAATTGGGGGGGGGGGGATCACCTCTGATTTGATCATACTTAGTGCCCCTTCAAAATATTTTGGAGCGCACCTACGAACATACTTTAGTCACTGGCTTTTACCGAAGAAGGCTTCTCTGCGTAGCTGAGGGCTGACACTCAACCGGCGCAGAGGTTAAGTAGTGTTACGAAACACAATAATGGTCCGCACAGCGATAGGCGTCCTGAGCGTCATATGTAGTATGGCCTTCAGAAAACAGAAAGTGAAAAAATTCACGTGTTCCCACCCTTTTCCGACGATAGTATAATTTTTTTCAATAGTTTCCTCACTTATCATCATCATCATCATCATCATCACATCATCATCATCATCATCATCATCATCATCATCATCATCATCATCATCATCATCATCATCATCATCATCATCATCATCAATCATCATCATCATCATCATCATCATCATCATCATCAT